AATGAAAATATATAATTTGATTCATTAAACCGGTTTAAGTTATTAACATCAAGTTTAAAGTTTAGGCTTCTGATAGTTGTTTTGAAATGATATATTTATGTAGATATTGAGCCTAAACAAGTTCCGGAATAATCAAAGGATTATAATCGAATCAAAGCAAGGCTAAGGTGAGTGCAATTTAATTTGTACTTATATTATTGAATAAACATTGGCTTGTGATTAGCTAGTGATGGAGTTACTATGGTGAGAAGTAACTCCTAAAATGTGATTTGATTGGTAATCTATGTGATGATTTGTGTGATTATGGGATATGTGTTAAAACACAATGATCTAAATGACTACATGAATCATGTGGTATAAGTTATGTGATTACATGTATGTATTAATACATATTGCTTGCATTACATGTTAATGTGATCATGAATAGGTAGAAAGGAAACAAATGATGATATAAGAATCTGTTATAAGATATATGATATGAAAATATGATAGTGAGCTATGTGAAAGAACTATGAGATATATGAGTTATATGGAAAATATATGCGAACAAGATATGACATCTATGTTTATATGAAACAATGCAAGGTGATATGAGCTATGTGAGATATGAATATAAAATCATATGAGAAGTGAAAAGAATTACATGAAAATAGACTAAGTGATTACATGTATATGTGAAAGAAGCTATGAGCTTATATGAATATGTGATATGAATGAAGCTATATGATACGATCTATGTGATTACATGCACATATGATATATGTTATATGAAATGACATATGAATAGGCAATACGTGATACATGTGATATGATATGGAATACATGGTTACACATACATGTGGTATGTGACAGAAGAGAAATGACAAGTAATGTGAACTGTTAAATGATAATGCTCATGTTATGTGATATGAGAGCTAGGGTATAGTTGGCATGCCAAGGGTCGAGGGTTTACCTATGTTCTTCAGGACATATGGACTGTTTACCTATGTTCTTCGGGACATATGGACTGATTACCTAGGTTCTTCGGAATCTATGGACTGGTCCTTCGGGACATTGATCGAGCTGTGGTGACAGCATATGTGTGCACAACCTCAATGTACTCACATACCTTAAGTTCTCACTAGTGTACATGGGGGAATAAAGTGATTAAACAAGCATACTGAATGTGATATGTATACGATGGGTTTATAAATGGTTATCAAAGGTAAGTGGTTTGAAATGTGTTACATGAACCATATGATGTTATGTGTGTTTCTTAATGATAATGATAGAGATTATGATAATGATGGTATATGTTTATGTATGCTTTATGTTATATGAAATATTATATGTTTTATATGCCTCACTAAGTCATCGACTTAGCGTGTGATTGTTTCACACGTAGGTTTGGAAAGCGAAAAGAAAAGTAAAGAGGAACAAGACAGGTCAATTCTCCTTACCGAATGTCAGATCAGAAGAGAGGTGAATAATATGTATTTTTGTATATAAAGTTCTAGTTGGCATGTAATCAAAAGAATATATTGTATAAGCTCTGAATAATTTTGTAAATGTTTTGAATAATTTAAATGTTATAAAAGTTTTTAAATTACTCACTATTTTATACGAATAAATTTTTGAAAAGTCAATGTGACACTTCGGACTCGTATCCTGTTCGGATACGGGTTGGGGGTGTTACACTATACATGATGAAAATATATTCAAGCATTTGATCAAGGACAATACCTATTATTAAAGCTTTGACTGATTATTTCAAGGATGGTTATTCATAAATTTCTTCTGAAAAATCCCTCGACACTAACAAATAAATGTGTTAAAAATACCAGGGAAAAAACTATTAATTAACTATTAAAAGAATTATTAATTGAGCTCAAAATATTTTTCAACAATTTTTGTTCATATAAAAAATAAATCGTCTCAAACCCTAAATACATCAACAAATTTATGTACAAATGGTCATTTAATCACTAATTTATGGGTCTTCAAAATCAAGATAATGTCGAATATGTGTTTTGCAGAGTAACACCAATGTCTTGAAAGTAAAAGAAAAAAGATGGTTCAACTAAAAAAATATAGTTTTGGTTTCTTTTGTTATGATGCATGTTCTATATTTGTGCAATGCAAAGTGAAACCACAAATTGTCTAGGATTCCATCTTCTTCTCTGCAAACGGTTTGAAATTACCAACACTTCATGCTAAAGATTTGCAAACCTTCATGATTCCTTATTCACTTATTGGTGTCTTGTTACTTTTTTTTCCTAGCTATCCAAATCACCTTGATTTTTTCATTTGCAAGTATCATTCCCAAAATGTACACTTTAGCAGAGGGAAAAAAGGAATTCAAACTTTGAATCATCAAAATTCAAAGCATTGCACTGTTGGTTCAATTAAATCCTGAAAATCAGAACTCATTTTGCAGGGTGCTTGGAATACTTTGAGAGCTAGCAATCATGGGAAAGAAAACAAAATAAGCTTACACATGTATAGCAAACACCCACACAGTTCAAATTTGTAGTCCAATTCTCTTTTACCCATGCATCGAAATATCACATGGGGAGTCTCAATCTTTGTTGTCTTTGACAAGAAAACTATTACAGTATCCCTAATGTAGATTGTGCCCATCAGTCTCATGCATGCCATCTGTCTTGCGAATGCATCCGCCTTTCGATTTGTCTTCAAGGCCCCCACTATCACAAAACAGAACCGAGTTTAATTACTCGGTGGCTGTTAATTTGGGGGGAAGCATTTATATTTTCAGGACTTTGGATTGAAGAAAAAGTTTGGGGTTTGATGGGATTTAAATGAGTAAAAAATTATTTGTGCAGATTGCCTTGTGAAAATATAACAATTAAAGGCAAAACTAGAGGGTTCGTAGGGTCTAGCGTTGTCAGCTACATGTGTAAGGCAATTCAAGACTTCTGGTTTAGTCTGCCTGGGAACTATATTGTATGTTGCTTTTGCATTATTGAATAGCATTGCCATATATATATATATATATATATATATATATATCATGCATGCGTGTGCTTCTGATTGCTTGAAATGCTAAACAAAAATTTAATTCTTGTTTTTCCTATTATTTTAATTTATATATAAGGTTCTTGACCTTTGTTATTATTTTTTTCGTAGATCTCTTACTTTTACATGCAATCAAGTTTGAGTTAGATAAAAAATTCATGACTTTGCCTTTATGTAAATTCCAAAGTCATCCAGCATGCTACATCTGCTAGAATTTCTGAATTGATGCAGAACAATTATGCATATTAATTTAAATATTTTAGAATATTATGATTTTTAAAATTAGAATAAATAATAAAAATATATATATATATATATATATATGTTGATCCATAGAATCGATTTTGGAGAGAAACTTTTGTGGTGAAGAACAAATTAGGGAGACTAGTTTTTCTCACTTGACCCATTTAGAAATTTCCAACTGTGTTGATGGATAAAATAATTTTTGTCAGCGCATATGGATAATATATATTTCCTTACTTTTATAGAAGAGTTTTACCTTTTCATTTTCACACCCCCATGAATGTGAATTTATTGAACAATAAGATTTAAGCATCTGTGTCGGATACTGAAATCATGCTGTAAGAGTTGAGGAAAATAATGCATTGAAAATCATTATTTCAAACATCTGCTACTCCCTAGCTGATAATAGCGTGTCCGTCATTAGATATATTACTTTAGCAAAAAGACAGCTATGTTTGGTCTTGTCCGTACTTGCTTATAATCTGGAGATAATCAAATTGATTATCTTCTACCTCATTCGATCTGGCCAAAAGCGTTTGATTATCTTCAAAGCTCTTACCACTTTGTCTTCTTCTTTTTTCACTGCAACCGTATCAACGTTTGACTATCCGAATACGTGAAAGAACTTGCGCAAGACATAATGACTAAACACTTGCACAAGTGTTAATGGGCCAATCAGACTATTAAGGGGTTTAGATTCGATCGTTTAGATTTTTAGACTAATGTTGTTGAATGGGCCGGTAAGATTCGGTCATTTTTGGTCTGAACTACGCTCGTTAACGATGTCTTGCATCCAGAAATTATTTAATAGATCTAGTTCATCAAATTGTCTATCAATCTCAAATTAATTTTCACATAACTACCCACTTCTTATTTATATGTAGGAAAAAAGTGAAGATTCACCTTACGAAAAAATAAGATTGATGAAATATTATTAGTTGAAATCACAAATGAAGTGATGAGTCAAGTTCAACTAATAATTTTTTTCATGCGCGATAACTGCAATAATAAATTTAAATATATTCGGATTTTACATTTCTTATGGTTTTGATATTCTAAATTAATACTCAAATATTTTAAAGAAAGCATTTATTATATATCATGCTAATATAATTTAACAGGAAAATTACTTGTTCGGGATCTGCTTTACAGCAGGAGTACCACGTAGCTCCTCTCCTTTTCTATGAGTCTCTGACAGGTAGTTGAGGTTTTATTATTAAGTAAATTACGCATTTAGTATTTAAACTACTAGTGTAAGCGTTTAATGTGAAATGATAGAGTTATCTATTAACATATATTATTTTTACAAATTTCATATTAATAAAAAAAACGTTAATTTTTTTTAAAAGTTTATGCACTAAAACGGACAAAACTGATAGTTTAGTACCAAAGTTAAGTTTTTAACGATGGATATTAAAATGAAACAAAAGTTAAACGTTAAGTATGACTTTGAAAAAATTAAAAGTTTAAATAATAAAACGAGTCAAAATTAATAGTTTAAATATTAAACGTGTAGTTTACCCTTCGTTATTTTGCTTGACATCTTATTAATATAGAACTCCGAAACCGTGAATATACAGCAAAACTCAGAAAGAAAATTGTTGATGTGTCAACTTCGGTTTTTAATTTGTAGTGAATAACTTTTTAATAATTGCAAAGAAAATCTATAAAACTCTTGACAAATTCTATTATTTAAATTGGAATAAGAAACTTCGACCACAAATAATTAAAAGCAACATGCATGCATGATATCACTCTTGTTTGGATACTACAGACTACAGTGCGCTTAGCGCAGTTCATTTCTAGCACTCACACTGACGATTGATCTAACGATGAAATAAAGGAAGTAGACGACGATGATCAAACTTTTATAAGTGAAACGATGACATTCACAAACTCAGTCTTCTCCTTGGACATGCGATCGGCAATAATTTCCCTGTACCTTTGGAACACTTGATCGACGATGTCTTCACCAAAGTGGCTGACAATTAATGGCTCCACCACAGCTCTCATGCACTTGGCTACGTTGTACCCTCCATCTTTGAACGCATCAGATAAGTCGGTTTCGTTCTGATAGGCGTTCCAATTTACTTCGGTTACTTCCAATCGGTCGATGCTGAACGACCCTTCTTTCAAAACCTCATATTTAACCTCTACCTGAGATGGTGTGTATTGAGGGATGTTGAAGGTGTTCAGTTTCTCTTCTTCTATCATTCCCTGCGTTTATTCATGTAGTTTTAGATATTTGACTGGCGATGAATCCAATATTAAGAGGAAAGTGTAAACGCAGATTGATTTTTACTATATCGACCTGTCGGTGTCAGACCAAATACTGAGAAATGATATATCGTTTTTTTGAACTCATCAAATGACTGATCCTAAATTCGAATAGCTACGTTAAATTGTTATACCTCAAGTACCATATCATTGAGAGCCATGGCCAAAAGCTCCCAAATGTAACAACCCTCTTTGCTTGAAGGATCATCACTTCTTCTCCCTAAGACAGTCAAAACCATACGCCCTCCATCCACCAGTTCCTCCGATCTACACTTCAAAAACAAGGAAAAATCTTGCTGGAACTGCTTATAATACGCCCTGAGCACGTCCGGTGGACTTGAGCTGGCCATGTAAATGTTCCCTTTATTATTTTCCAGCCCTTCAGGAACCTGAATCACAAAACAAACCACTCATAAATTGAAATAATGATATAAATAATTGTATACGTAGTACACACAGTACTCCAATAATATATATATACGGAACCTGAGAGAGCCATTGGAGACTGTATGAAGAGTGTACAAAATGAAGGCTGTTTTTCCTGAAAAGCCTGCCGTAGAAGGAACCAGGTACTCCGGTGAAGAAACAGGGTCCACTGTCGGTTCCAAGTTGGTTCCTCAGATTGGTTTGGAAGACGGAGAGGGACCGGAAAATGGTGTTGAAGTCATTCCCTGGAAGATCGTTGAGAAACACTTGATACTCGGGGGATTTTCGTTTCATTTTCCGGCGAAGACTATCCACCACTTTGATGAGTTCAGACACCGCAAACAAAGTGTTGGGTCCCGAAGAACAGCCCAAATCGGCGATGGCTATTGCCACCGGACAACTGCTTTTGTAGAGCTTAGTTATGGCGTCCTCTGTGATCGGTTTCGTCATCGTTATCACCTTTTGCTGCTCCCACGCAAAAAACACACACACACACACACAATCACATACCGTGAAAGTTACTGACAAATACATATTAAAGTGTTATATATATACCTGAACTAAAGAGTTGTTTGCATAGCTACTATCTCCAACTCCTCCATTCATGTGAAGAACTTGACCTACTTCCATGTCGATCGATCTTTTATCTTTCAAAGCTGAGATTTGGGTTTTCTTTGTGCAGTTAAGAGACGTTGCATGAGTTCCTATTTATAGACGATGGACGAGCAATATTTCCTTTTTTTGGGATAAAAAATTTAACAACCACTGAAATTATCCCAGATTATTAGAAGGATAATTACAAGACAATCTTATTGGCAACAATCACATATTTGTCGAAAACCATCAAAATTCAAAACCGTTTTACTTGTGTTTATACGAAATAAACCAATAGATTCCTTTCATGCCTGTCCCTCAAGAAAATTTTGGGCCCAGAAACTTTTATGGATTAACTACTTTTTAATCCTTCAAAATTTTGAAGTTAAATAAATTGAGTTATGGCCCCTCATTTTTTGCTTTTTAACCACGATTATTGGATTAAATAGTTTTTAAATTTTCATCAATTTCAAAATTAGGTCAATCGTATCTTTCTCTCAATATTTAACTTTTTAAGATGACCTAACAATTAGGGGTTGGGCAGGGGTCTTGGCCCCTAAATTGATAAAAAAAAAAAAATCACTTTTCTACCCTTTAACATTTAAAGTGATAAGTTTCAAGATAACATAATAATAAAATTACATTTTGATCCATAAATAAAAAATTAATTTATTTTTTTATGAATTTAAAATTATAAGTTAGAGTAAAATTATATTTTTTACTTTAAAAATTTGTAATTTACTTCTTACCTTCGGGGGAAATTTTTTCACTTCCGTTAAAAATTAATAATTTATCATCAACGGGATAATTCAAGTGGTATATAATTTGATATCGGATAAGCATGTCTCGAGTTCGAGTCTTTGTGTATGAAGAAAATCTCTATTGGGAGACTCACCCACCACAACTAGATGTGTAAAATGAAACAAATTATGTTAGTAGAGTCATCCTCGTTTTTTAATTTAAAATTGGGTTAATAAATAAACATTAAGGGTTATGTCAAAATTTCATCAAAGTGTGAGCATTCTCCACGCCATAGAGGGTAAATGATTTTTTATTCAAAACATCAAGAGGTTTCAATACTTATCCCAAAACCTGTCTATCGAATTCATTAATGTTTTTCAGTAAAATCCTGGTTTTCAAAATCATTCCTTTTACTTTATTTTCTTTAAATCTTTTATGGTCTTTAATTATAAGATTGTTAAATAATAAAATAACATTATATGTAATCAAACCATAGGTATTCTCAATTTATTTATTTAAAAGTATAAATGAAAATTAATCCTGCTAAACAAAATATAATTAAAAATAAAAAAAAACACGAATCAAATTATTTCAATGGTTAAAGGAATAATTGTTATTTGTAGAAGTCATTAGTTTGAACAACAATGACTGTAATAGAGTGATTGAACGTTCATTGTCAAATGATTAATAATATTTAGAATATATACTATTCTTCGTAATCATCTTAAGTTAATAAAAAAATTAAAAACAAAACAAATTCTCTAATTAAATATGTAAAGAATAAAACAAAAGGTCATTTTTTATCATTAGTTTAATTAATATATTTTCTTTATTCACGAAGATGTCCAAAACACGTGTACTTTCTATTATGTCATAAAGCATGCGTCATGGTAAAAACGTTATTTAAATGACGTACTCCATATAGTTTTCATTTGTATAATCTAAGATGACACTTGGTCATCGTAAATCTTATATTTAATTTATGATTATTATTGTCGAATAAACCTACAATTAGACCTGTAAATGAACCAAACGTTTAATAGATCGTTCGTGAACTATTAAGTAAGAAATTCGTTTAGGTTTTTTTATTTAGTAAATGAATAAACATGAACAAAATTTTATGCTTGTTTAATTAAATGAACGAAAATGAACAAAGACCAAAGGGTATGGTTAAAATTTTCTCACCTACTTAGAATCCAATGTTACCCCATGAACTGAAAATTCGTGGCCTCAATTGTTATAAAATATTATTTAATTGAATCGTTTAAATAGCTTCAAATAATTAGTCTTTATCTGTTGAAAAAGTTCGATAACTTTAAGTTTTGAATGATAAATTGATTTAAACATTGTTGAGAAAAAAATGTGAAACCAATTGTTGGTTCATAAATATGTAGATGTGTACGATATGGATAACATAAATGATATGACTCCGGTTGTAATGTTATCGAATCATATGAGGTTGCTCGATCATGATTCTAGTAAGTGTTTGAACTTGCTTGCTTAGAACATGAAATTATAATTTGTAAAATGATAAAGGAAGATAGGAATGTAAATGATGATGAAGGATTGATGATGCAATGGTTATAGTGATTTGGAAATAGTGTGGAATGTGATAGAAATTGTAGTTTGATGAAAAGGAAAGATGGTGAAGGTGATGGATGTTAATGACGTGGAATGTATAGGGAAGAAAAAAAGGTGGATTATGATCCACTAGCTATATAGAGCTAGAAGTCAACAATATAAAATGATGGATTGAAATGATAGGGGATGAAATATGACCCTATAGCTATAAATGAGCTAGGAACCAACATTATAAACAATTGAAATGGATGAAGACCACAAGAACAAACTTGAAGGTGATAAAGTTCTTCAAAAAAACTATAAAAAAAGCAACTCTGAAAGAGGAATTTTATATATCAAAGTGTGTGTTTACAATGCAAGGATGAAGCTTATTTATAGTGGTTTTAGGTTAAATATGAAAGGTTCACACAAAAGAGGAATACTATCTTAATGGTGATGAATGTTCATGAATGCTTTGTTTCTTCTTTCTCCTTTAGTAGCCAAATATTTAAGAGTAATTAGGATTAATTTGGATAAATTTTAGGCTGAATGCAGATACAATTTCGTCCAAAGGGAAGGAAGACTCTTGAATTTCCTTGACTTGCTCACTTATAAAAAAAACGGATGATGGATGTGGAAATTTGATGTATGTAGACACTTAGGCGTCCAAGAGGGAAGTGTCCCTTGCTATTCAATGCTCATCTTCAAGACATTTAACCCTTTTAAATGTCATAATAATAGGAATTAAGAAGGCCTTCATTTTATGTCTCTTTGTATAGTTTGAAAAGCCTCCAAAATGATTATAAAGAAAGGTTTGAATGATAGACTTGAATGCATGTCTCCAATGTAGAATGTGAAAGGTCTTTTTCTTGGTTCAAGCTCATCCAAAACGTCCAATACACCTAGACACAAAGTAGTACACATTCAAGCTTGAAAATAAAGTAAAAATAACCAGACCATGCAAACATTAAATGAGCTAGTTTGATTAATAAACTAGTTTAATGAATGAACTAGCTTTATTGAATGAAGAACATACTTGAATGAAGTAACTTGCTTTAAAGAAACTACATGCTAAAATGAACATAATGTTACATGCTTTGAATGAAGTAGCATATTATTTATTCATATGAATTTATTTCATACAAACTTAAATGCTCATGAAATCTATGCACGAGTAAAAGTTGGTAGTCATTCCTCAAATATGGTGTTTCATTCCTCACGTCACAAGCTTAACAAAATAAGTTCTCTATGGCTACTTGAAACTTCTTGGTCCTTACATGTGTGATAGGTCAACTAGGGAACTCATTCGGGTCCTTGCCATTGGTGATCATATCACTATCTCCATTTTTTAGAGCGATTTGTCTCTAAATCGCCATCTGTATCATAGGGAGATAAGTCAGCCACATTAAAGGTTGCGTTAACATTATACTTACATGGGAGGTCGATTTGATACGCATTATCATTAATCCTCTTAAGCACTTGAAAAGGTCTATCTCCTCAAGGCATCAATTTTAACTAACGCTGAGTTGGGAATCTTTCTTTCCTTATGTGCAACCATCTCCTAGTTTAAAAGTGACTCATTTGTGTCCCTTGTTGGCTTGCTGCTCGTATTGTCTTATTTTCTTCTCAATGTTTTCCCACACTTATTGATGGAGCTTCTTAATAAATTCAGCGTTTGGATGTGAATTTGAAGGGTAAATTATAACCCCCTCAGACCGATGCGGATAACCTGATCCTATCTGGAGTGTCACATTAGAGCCATTGGAGCGACCCACCGTAAAAATAACAGAAAATTTAAAACTTTTATAAAACATGTAAAATCATAAAATGATTTATCAGTTCGTAAACAAACATGTTTTCAGACTCGTATATAAAATAAAATACAATTACATGCCCCCTAATCACATGTACCATCCTCTGCAAGCATCGCAGGAAGAACTCCCTTATTGTTGTCGATAACTGCACTGGTACAATTTTTTTAACCTGCAATGGTGAGTGATAGAGTGAGCTTCGGAAAGCTCAGTAATACAGAACTATAAGGTGATCCTATAGGACATGCAGATAAATGGGAAGCCATAATTTCCTTATCGAATCAGACGTATACCAATTATCGGAATAATCTGGAGTACCACTGGTAGTTCATCAAGTAGAAGCTATGAAGATCACAGTTCATAGGAAACATTCATAATATGACATTTTCAGGAGATTGAATAGGATGTCTAGTGTGTTCCAATCAAAACCAGTGAAAAGATACAAATCTTTTAAAACCATAGTTGAACCCCCAACCAAACTCTATTATGCAGTTCCCCAGAACTGCATCCATAGAGCTTGCCCTCATCACACAGTAAAAAGGGGAGCCAACCTAAGGATATACCTTGGGTCTGCCCAAGGACATCCTTAGATCCGTAGGGTTACCTTAAGCACAGAGCTAAGGGAACCAACCTAGGGATATACCTTGGGGCCTACCCAAGATATCCTTAGGTCCGTCAGGTTACCTTATGCACACAACAAAGGGAACCAACCTAAAGATATGCCTCGGGGCCTACCCAAGATATCCTTAGGTCCGTAGGGTTACCTTATGCACACAACAAAGGGAACCAACCTAAGGATATGCCTTGGGCCTACCCAAGATATCCTTAGGTCTGTAAGGACTTACAGCTGGATCAGGGTTGTGCCTCTATACTCTAGGTTCCTATCCATATAAAAATCCAATATAAATCAGTGTTATCCGTAAATCGTAATACATGGATCGTGATCCAGTAATATATCATAACCGATATAATAAAAT